TCTTTATTGGCACTCGCCTCTACAGAGAGTGCTGTGGAGGTGGGAATATTTGAACAAACAACTGTTGCAAAATCATATCTATTGTGAGGAGACAGCTTGTTCCAAGAAATCTGGCTTGCACCATGTCAACATTTTAAAAAGATGCTTCAAATAAGAAAAAAGATAAAAATATAAATATATTTGGCTTCAAAGCCTTGGAGGCACTTCTGAGAACTGTGGGACTTCAGGGAACAATCAGATAGACAACCATTTCTCTTCCAAGTCTTCTCATGCTTTTTTCTTTAGATAATGAATTCTGTTATTTATTTATTTTCATATTTTTTTCACTCATAGTAGGTAGACTACACTGTACTCATTCAATTAGTCTTGTATTTATTGAGCACCTATTTTGTTAGGAACTGCTGATGAGAGGCTCACAATTTAGTGTGTAGTAAACATTCAGTGCCTTGTTAATTAAGTTGATTGATTGTTCAAACTGTATAATTAAGTGAACAGATTGGCCATGGAGAGCACAGATCTATAAATATTCTCAAAAGGAAGAGAGTTTAGCCTTTTTGAAAAAGATACGAACTCTGGTGTCATAATATTTCATTCATTCATTCGTTCCAAATGTTTATGGCATGTCTAACCTATGTGGTGGGCAATGTGCTGAACATTAGGGATTCCAGAATGAACAGAAGGCAGTGATTTCCTGCCCTCAGTGCCCTTCTGACACCTACCAGTTGTGGGACTTTGAGTAAATCACTCCTCTTGCGTTTCCCTTTTTTTTAATGTGTGAAATGTAGATAATTACAGTAATTATACCTTAGGTGATATCTTCTAGCTCTGAAGTTGTACATGGCAAGACTGAGATTTAGTCTTGAAGGACAAAGAGGAGCAAAGACTTTCCGGCAAGAGAGTTAAAAATAAACTAGACACACACACACACACACACACGCACACATACTCACACACAGAAATGAAGAAGTGAAGCCTGTGGCAGCAATAGGTTTGTATGGAGAAGTCGTGGACTATAAGGAGCTACAGGCGGTGTTGTAAAGAGTCTTGAAACTGGTATGACGGAGACTGATCGTTCTCACCTAGGATCATTCTCATCCCTTTCCATCTGGCTAGAGAAGGCACACAATTTTATCGGGTATTGGGGCCTCTCAGCTACAGGCGACGTCCTCCAGCCTCTCTTGCAGCAAGGGGGTGCAGCTTGCTCCAGCTGGGTGGATTGTGCGTGACAGATGCAACTTTGATGTCATCTTCCCCAAGACAAAGCTGCTTGATCTTGACTTCCTCCTTCCCACTCCTACTCCGGCTGGGAATCATGACAACTAGAGTAACTTTGGAAGCCGCGAGTTAAAGATAGTAAAGCCACTTCTCCAACTACGGGCTGCTCATATCTGCAGTTACGTGAGATGGAATCATACAGTGTGCAACCTTTTGGCTTTGTTATTCAGCATAATTCCCTGGAGATTCATTCAAGTGTGGGTAACAATAGTTCATTTCTTTTTATTGCTGAGTAGTAGTCCATGGTGTGGTTGTGTAATAGTTTGTTTAACCATTCACCCAAGGAAGGACATCTGGATTATTTCCAGTTTTTGTCTATTATTAATAGAACTGAGGATGACTATACAGGTACCATTTTTCATGTGGACATCAGTTTTTATTTCTGTGGGATAAGTGCCCAAGAGTGCAATTCCTGGGTCATATAAGTGTATATTTAGGTGGTTTTTTTTTTTCAGATAAATTTCCAGGTGATTTCCTGAGTGGTTATACCATTTTACATTCCCATCAGCAATGTATAAGTAAGGCAGTTTCTCCACATGCTTGTTAGCATTTGGTATTACCATTATTTTTTATTTTAAACACTCTTATAGGTGTGTAGCAATATCTTGTTATAGTCTTAATTTGTATTTCTCAGGAGGCTAATGATGTTGAATATCTATTCATGTGCTTATTTGCTATCTGTGTATCCTTTTTGAAATGACTGTTCATATCTTTGTCCATTTTTTATTTTACTGTTTTTCTTTTTTAGTCTTTACTCTTCAATGTTATTCATTTTTTACTGTTTGAGGTTTGAGGATTTTTTCTGCAATATCTGGCTTTGACTTTAAAAACATAGCCCATAAAGAGAAAAAATAAAATTGGAACTCATCAAAATTTTAAAACGTTGCTCTTTGAAGGACCCTGTTAAGAGGATGAAAAGATATACACTACAGACTGGAAAAAAAAATATTTGCATACAATATATCCAACCAAGGACCAGCAGCTAGTTTTTGTTCTAGCCGAAAGATTTTCTCCTGTGTTTTTCACTAAAAAATTTCACATTTTACATTCAAGTCCTTGACTTGTTTTGAATTTATTTTTAAGACTACCTCTTTTTTATACATCCAGAAGTATCTGTGATTATTTAATTTAGATGCAGAATGGGAAAGACTGGGCTTGGGGTAAAGTGAATCAGTTTTTTCTGATATTCAAAGATAATGTATCTTTTCTCAGAAGGACATCATAAGCTAGAAGTTACTAACCCTACCACAGAGGGAAAACAGTTCCTAGCACAGAGAATAGCTAGCTTCGTTTCTACAAGGTAGTCACTGGGTAACAGTGTCCCGAGGTGATTAAGAGAAAAAAAGATTTTATATGAATGCAGTTTTCATTTTTTTTCTTCTTCATTCTCATTCATCTACTTGTCAACTGTACTGTTTTTAAAACCTAACATTAGGGTTTAGATGGATCTTTTTCTCATAGGCAATCACTGGGAATCTTTAGGTAGGGGGAGTAAAGGAGATAAAATGGACACTCAACAAGTCTGTTCAAAAGAATTGGTGGCAGAAATACAGCTTTTCTCACCGCCCCTTCTTTTCATTGACCATAGTGCACAAACACACAGTTAAGGACTTTCATTGATTAATAATTGTATGATTAGTGAAATAAAAGTCATTTCTGTATCAGAGAACTCATCTGGAATTTTTTTTTTTTTTTTTTACAATTAGAAAGCACATTCTGGGGATTTTGTGTGGTTGGTTCTTAACCTGTAATATCACATACTATTACTGAAATCTATACTTTCTCTGAGCTGTAGTGTTTGATCCTAGAGCATTTTAGAAACTCTACAGAATAAGGGCAAGAGACATTTAATAAGCAGAGGAAATAAAATGTCCAGTCACAAAGAGGCCATTTATCCATTTTTTTGGGTCCCATTTTCCTTTTAGATTAAACCATTTAAACTCTTTTTGATTTCCCTCAATTATTTTAATTAAATTACTCTCTGAATCACACATACATTTCCATATTTTATTTGAACTTCAATATGACCCATAGATACCAAGTAAAGACTTGAGCTGTAGAAGACAGAAATGATATGGCCTCGTAGGATAGTTTCTAATGTGTGTAACCCAGAATCCACTCACCTGATACCTCATGAGAAAGGTACTAGGATCAGGGGTACTTGTATACAAATCACTTACTTTGTTATGTAATAAAATGGTTGGTATAGATTTTTAGCAATTCCCTTGGCTTGCTTACATAAACTTGAAGTCAAAGATGAAAATACTTGTAAGTCATTTTAGACTAGAAAGTTATTTCCTATTTTCTTTGTCAGCAAGCACGTCCAGAAATATCTGTGATTATTTAATCTAGTAAAGACAAAAATCTGACTCCATACTGGATCTGTTCCTTTAGCTCTAACCCTGGGCTCTGTTTCCTATGCTGAGTCCTGCCGGTTCTGCACCTTTTGTAACAGAATGTTGCCTAGAGCCTAAAAATATACCGGACAGCCTATTCTCAAAGTTCTGACCTTTAAGGGTATAACACTTTTCTATTCATACAGAAATAAAAAGTTGCAGAACAGAGAATAACATTTGTCTTGTTGGAAGTTTATAGGAACATCGTGACCTGACCTACGTGGGCAGCTGCAAGGACAAAGGATTCCAACTCCAAGAAGTTTGCAACAACCAACCACACCCCGCCCCGTTTTTACTATAAAAGGATCCTGAATTCTGACTTTGGGAAGATGGTTATTTAGGACATTAGTCCTCTATCTTCTCAATCTGCTGGTTTTCTGAATAAAGTTTTATTCCTGGCCCCAGCACCTCGTCTCCCAGTTTACTGGCCTGTTGTGCAGTGAGCAGAATGAGTTTGGACTTGGTAACAAGTAGTTTCTGCTCTCTGGGTAAAATATATAAGACTAATCCATGGAAATTCAGAAAAGACGTTAGGGTAGCTTTAGAAAAGATAATATAGCTAAATTTCCCCATTTTAGAGATGAAAATCAAGACCCAGAGAGGTGTAATATTGTATTTCAACCATTACAAGATATATAGTAATTTTTCACATATTAACATCTCAAAAACCAGTATGTTTTCTACAATTAATAGCATCTCACAGTGGCTGTTGGCTAGGTGGCTGTCACAGTATAGTTGCGTGGTAAGCATGAACTTGGTGGCATCACTGGACAACTGTCACTTCATGTTTCAGTGAACAAGCCACTTAGGGATAATTTGATTAAAGCATAAGTCCTGGCTGTGGCCTAAAAACTTGTGTGTTAATACCTTCCAGGGAGATGTGCAAAGTGTCAGCCGTACAATTCATGTAACAGGTGTTAGTGGCTTGGAAAATAATCTTGGAGTTAATAGTAAAGCGCTCCTTTTAAGAGAAACTGGCTCAGAGGGCAATTATTACACATCAGCTACTCTTAGTAAAAAATTGATTCAGAACAACTGACACTGACTCTTTCATATTTTCTTTCTTAATACTCTGTAACACTGATGTGTGAAATATCTATGTCTAAATAAATCTAAAAGAGCTCCTTTAATAAGCATAAAATAAAAATTCTAAATGATAAGGAAACATGTCATAGTTTGACAAGCTTTTCCTTCTTAGTGCAATATCCTTTCTTCTAAATCATTATGAATACAGTTTCATTCATTCCTATCACTTCAGCTGTTTTCCTATAAGCCATGTTATTATCTATTCATACTCTGTCTGAAGGAAAGGACCAAAATGTTCCAATATTGATGAAGATATCTACTCTTTATTTCTATGATGTTAGCACAATATACTCACACAATAGCTTTGATCTGTACTTAACAAAATACATTATAGCACTTTACAAACTTTATAAGTTTGGAAAACATTGCATAACATTTTATTAAACACAATACTTTATATATGTCATATATATTTTCATAATTTTATTTACTTTAAAAAGATAATTAACTCTCTTTATTCAATACTTGGTTTTATCAGTAAAGCACAGCCTAACAAAGGAAGAAGTGCTCTCATTAGCAAATAAGATCCATAGAACACTAAGAAGAGACACCACCTGTTAGTCTCATTTATTTTAAATTAAGGTACCAGTGGAATGTAAACAAATTTTTTTGTAATTTTTTTACAAAAGATGTGTTATCAAATATACATGCAGAGGTCTGAGTTCTAACGACTATCATTATATTTCCTTAACAATGTGGTACAATTTGTTAAGTCATTAAAAACTGTAGCCTTTGGCACTTGGAGTAGAAAAAGAATATATCAATATTTATGTAAAGAAAAACAAAACTTCAATGACTAGAGAAGTACTTTTAAAATCTTTTGTTAAGAAATAGGAAAGATTAGGAAATATCATACTGCACCTGAAATGCTGCAGTTTTTTTTTTTTCTTCAGAGTACTAAAACCAGTCCACCTTTCTCTTAATAAACTGGCAAAAGCCATTAGGAGTGTCATGACGGTGGTGGAGGTGAGAAGTGGGGAAGGCAACATTTTATTCCCACTCCCCTCTCTGAGAAGGAAATTGCCAGAAGGGATATAGTTGAATCTGTGTTTTATTGCCAGAGTGTTCAATTCTGCTGGTTTCAGCTAAAACCCTAATGCTTTAGGAGGTTGATTACTTAGAAAGCTCTGCCTTTTTCCTGTAGAAGTCGATAAGGATGTGGTACTATCCATCTCTAAACAACCACTTCTGTTTCCACTGAAAACTAAATTGAGATTGGATCAACCAGCTTTGTTGTTACCTTTTATCCCCTTGGCAATCATCAAGTGTATGTTAGAATTCTTAAGTAATGGTGTAAAAAGGTTTAATACTAAATTAAAGGAACCGAATATGTCTTCATACTTAAAATAAAATTTTAAGTTGGAAAATGGCTTAAAATGTTTTTTTTTATTGATAATACTGGTTTCCTTTGATTTAGGCTGAAGGCTTCATTCAGGATAGGTAGCAAAAACTGTTGTTTGCATGTTAAGCACAAAAATTGTGCCTATTTAGATATTTTGAAGAAATACAGTCTTAATTTATACTGTGAGATACTTTCACTTACCAGTTTGCATTTTTTTTCCAAATTCTTCCTGTTGGTGTCCAATTAACAAAAATATTTTAGAGAAGAAGGTAAAACACACCTAGTGTGGCTCTAATTTACTGGTTATCAGGTTATCAAAAAAGTTAGTAATCTGGAAGAAAATGAAACTTTTGGATTACTTATTAAGATAGCAACCTATGCCAGCTGGCTGGAAACATCTAAGCGTAGACTTGACCAACATTGCTAGCACTGGAACCCACGATGTCAAGTTTTGGCTCATATTTCTTATTCAAAAATTCACAGCAGTATATTTTGCTCTAGGAATATCAACTGTTACTTTTGCTTTAAAAATAGAACATATCTATAACCTCAAAAAAATCAATAAATAAAGGAGAAGCCATAAAATGCAAAATATTATCACAATGATTTCAAAAGACTCTAAAACAATATATTTTTAATTATGCAAATTTACTTACTAAAAACAGATTCTTCATGAGCAGGAACCATAAATAAAAAGTAAGCAGCAAAAAGCTATGAAGAAAAGTACTGGTTATTCTCTTCTACTGAAAATACTTCTACAATTTTTTTTTCCTTCAAAAAGCATAATTTTGAAGAAATGCACAAAACCTTTTCATCTTTTGACTGTGACAGAGCCACTACAGAGAAGCTGCGGGGTGTCCTATTCTAACACAAAGAAGCCAGCGTCTTCTTAATACAGGAGCATTTCTTTGACGAGGAATTGCACACCACTATTTCACAGCTAAGTAGACTTTGAAAGTTTACATGGTATATTTACTATAATAATCAGCACCACCCATATGGAGCTTTTGGTGCAGATTCTGCAAAATGAAATATATAATACTGCATGGCCTCTGCTGTAGGGAAAGACGTGTGTTCCGGATTCCCACAGCTAATTGTAAAGAAAGACCCCTCAAGTTGGCACATTCAGGAAGTAGGATAGTATACACTGAAGGAAACCGCTTTCTCTTGATCCTGCCCTCTGCACACCTTTTGAGTTTGAAGGTCGGTCTTAAGAAGAGCCCTCCCATGATCACGTTGGTTAGGCTCTTGCTTGTGCTTTTCCCTCCCCTCGATGTGCAACCTACCAGCTTGAGTGCGGCAGTCCTCAAGAGTCACTGAGTTCCGGGCTGATGGTGGATAGTCCAGTGTGATGGGAAGGCTTCCTGAAGCGCGGGGACAGAGCACTGGTAGAATCGGCACGTGGTCCTCTGGGGCTGCCCAGGTGACTGGGTGGCCATCACTCAATCCTTGTAAGCCCGCGTCGGGGAGGTTCCTTTGTAGAAGATGTTTCTCGTGCTTTCGGGGCTGTTGCTTCTCTCGGGGATTAGGATGATGTTGCCCTTTCTCCGCAGGGTGGAGTCGCGGGAAGAAGAAACGGACAGGGTCTCTGACGCAATCTCGCTGCCCTCCACCGGGGTGACGCGGATGGTGGCGATCCCGTGGTGGTGGTGCTCGTTGTTATCGATGTTGCTTCTCTTGCGGTCTCCAGACCCGAAACTGTCTTTCAGGGACTCGCAGCTCTCTGAGTCCCTGTTGAGGTCGTTGAGCTCGTAAGTCTGGCGAAGGCTGCCCTTCTCAGGGGCCTTCCACTTCCAGGAGCCGCTGCCCTCGCCCTCGGTGGACGGGATCTGAATGATGGGCCTGTTGTTCTCCGGGTGAGCCTCGACCCGCACAATCCCGCTGGGCTCGTGGTCCGTCAGGGTTTTGTAGCGGATGGAGCCGGTGCAGGAGACCGTGCTGCCTTCGGTGTTCTTGGGGCTGCTCTGCAGGACGCCCTGCTGCTTGGACATGGCTATGACCTGCATGATCCGAGGCTGGCTGTTGCTCCTGCTGCAGGCCACCGTCTTCTCCGCCGCCTTCAGCCACTTGGCCCGGGCGGAGCTGCTTTTCGGGGAGGTGCTTATGTTTTCCTGCGTCTCCTCGGGGATGTGCACTAACTGTGAGGACCCGGGGCGGGGCTGAATGGACACCCTTGGCGCCCCAGGCATGCTGTTGTTGCAGCCAGGGACGGCGCCAGGCTGGATCTTGAGGTACTGATTGCCGGGACCGTGGTGGTCTCCGTTGACCCCCACCCTCGATGGCTCTGAGCTCGACCTCATTTCTATGGATCTGGGTGGTGACTGTCCGGGCTCGGTCTCTATAACCTGCAGGGACAACTTGCGGCTTTCATTCTTACTCTTCCACTGGGTGAGGAGCTGCTTGGACCGAGCGGAGTCCATAGAGGCGTGGATGGTGGCGTTCCTTCGGACGGGGTCTTCCACGGATGGGGTGTTGGCCCGAGGCAAGGTGTTGCTGAAGGTGACCATGTTCTCCTTCCCCATGGGGCTCCGCGGCGTGATGATTTCCACGTCAGCGTTGGCCCTTTTGAGGTTTGTCAGCGAGCTGGCATCTCTGTGGTTTCGGTTGAGGATGCCTTCTGTGTGAGCAATTCCGTCACTGCTGCTACCGTTCTTAGCAGATGAAACCCGGCTGGGGTCTTGGTTGAGGTCTGTCAGAGACCTGAGGGCTTCTCTGTGCTGAAATACACTCTCTTCACTAGGCAGAAAATTCCCCACAGCATACAGGCCCTAGTGTCGGAAGAAATAATAAATATCACGCACTAGAAGACATGGTTGTTAAGAGTTTGCCTTAGAGGATGTCCTGAAGCACATAAACAAGTCTGTTCTCTGGGTACCACTAACTAATGCAGATAATCAAAAACTGAACGTACAATTGCTCAGGAAATAGTTTGTAAGTTACATTGTAAATCACAGAACTAATCACTCAGAAATACGGAGCCCATTATTTTTTATTATTTGCTGGATTTTCTCTCCTTTCTCCAGACCATGGGATGCTTTTGATAATCTTATCCTCTGTGTGTTTTGAGAAGGAAAATCAGACAATAAGAGAAATAAGGGGGTTCTTCCACTTTTCAAAGCAGTTTATCTCTCTGGATTTATGGACCATTTGCTGAGTGACACCTTAGCTGGCTTAGCTGATTTATTTTACCTTCCATTTTCAATCATACTTCATGATGGAAAGAAGAGATGTGGAAATACAGAACAGTGAATCCTTCATAAAACACAATGTCAGGTTTTGTAGTGAGGCCAGGGGCACATACTGTTACAACTCACACGAGTGCAGCTCAGTGTGTTCAGAACGTTCAGGGAAGGGAGGGCAGAGGCTGTCCCTAGATTGGGGCACCCCTGTTCTTCCTCGATTTAAACCAGGTCCTAAATTTGGGGAGTAATAGTTGATCTGCTCATCACTATTACACTAAATATGATCCAAATTTTATTTAGTTTTGTCTTCGTGCTCAAGTGATCAATTTTTTGTTTATTTTAGATTTGGGGCATAAAAATCTGAAAAAGGCTGAAGTTCAGATTCAGCATTTTTATCCTTTTTACTCATAGAAGATCTAATCCCTGCTGGATTTTCATTTTTTGAGATGCTTAGTTTAGAGAAGAAAGCAAGCAGCAGATACATATTCTGTGCTAATTTCAACAGAAGGTAGCCACTGTCTTCTTTATAATCAACCTGAAGGAATTCCATGGATTTGACATTTACAGAATGCCTAACGATGAACAACAGCAGTGGCTTAGAACTGATCAGTTTACAATTTCAAGGCTTAGAGTGTAAACAGGAATGGAATAAAGTCAAGCTCCTGCCTCTCCAAGTACTTTGATTCTTCTAAATAATGCTGATCTACACTCTCCTTCCTCCTGTTCCCTCACCCTCCACTTCTACGTGTTCTTTTCACGTGTCCCTCTTTTTGCAAATGCAGTTTCTTTAACTCAGATGCCTTCCTCCTTTCCTTACCCTAAGAAACTCTCACTTAAAAAAAAAATCACTTCTATGAAGGCTTTCTTAACTTCCTTAGGCAGTTGCTAATCCCAAAGTACTTTGTTCATACCTTGTTAAATCATTCAACATATTGCAACTGTTTATACTTTTATTAATCTTTGCACTGTAAACTCCTTAAGGATACATCTTATTACTCCTGGCACGATCAGATTTTGAATAAATGTAAAATAAATGAATGAATGCATGAATGAATGAATGAAATGGCCAATCTGATGATATTTCCTTGAAGGAAGATCAAGCTTGAAAATAGAGTCCTGCCAAAGAATTCAGTGTAAGTTGGATCACAGTTCTATTCAGGTGCTACATTTATGTTGTTGGGTAAATGATACAATTTTCCATTAAACCTTCACTTTCACTAACCTCACATCTACTAACATTCATTTTCCTCATCTATAAATTTATACTTGTAATAGTAGCCCCTGACTTGTTCTGGGGAGGAGAGTGAGGATAAAATGCAATAATCTTTCCAAAATTACAGATTCTGGCCCACAGTAAGAGTTTAATAAGTTATTTTGCTGAAAGTGAGTTACGTGTTTTGGCTTAGAACGGAGATGCGGCCAGAAATTTTCTCATAGATGCAAACTATATTGCAAGTAAATTATTACAGTGTGAAATATTCTATGCATGTTTTCCATTTTAAGCTAGACTTTATCAAATAATAATGCATTACTTACCAAGTACAGAGCAATTCCTCCTCCTATTAAAAAGCCACAGTAGACGTCAACGGGGTGGTTCTTGTACTGGGTTATCCGCGTCAGCCCGCAGATGATTCCACAGATGATAAAGGTGAAGACCAGGAGAGGTTTCAGAAGCTTAGAGGAATCCGTTAGTGTGGAGTTGAAGTACATCTTAAGAATGAAAGAACTAGGTTAAGTATGTTAGAAAGGTCATTTTACTATGAAATTATAATCAAATAAAAAGTTAAACTCAAAAGTCTAACTGATACGCTCAACATCAATTTTACTGTCCCATTCCCCCTGCTATGGCTACGTTCCATAACTGAAAGAAAGGAAATATATGAGTAAAGTGATCAGATAGATAACAGATCTCTCACATAATTACACAGAAGTTTGAAAAAAATAAAAGCAGCAGAATTAGCCAGATATCTGGTTAGACTTCGTGTTATTTGTCACACAATTTGAATCCATTTTTCTCACTTAAGATCTAATGCTCTATTAAATAATCAGATAGGATGGCAATTCATTGTCCAGCATTTATCAACTTTACACTGACTTAGAACTCACTGTTAACATAAATACTGAAACAAAGGTGGGTGTGTGTGTGTACTTAACACAGTTCTTTCAATTTTAGAACATATAACATTCATGTAGTTCATAATATCCTTCCAAGAAGTATACTATTACGTTAAAGAGATATGAAGCTAAACAAATATCATGATTGTGTCAAAAATTATCGTACTGTAGTATTGTTCATAGCAGCATCCAATTTCTACTCTCGATGCCATTGTATTGAGAGAGTGCTGTGTGAAGGTGTACTGTTGTGCTATTACACGGCTATATAATGTAATTAGCCATTAGAGACAACACTCATTTCTCTTATTTTCTCTAGGACACAGTTTGATGAAAAAGACCCGGTTACTTACCGAAACGTACACAGCTGCAAAGGCAGCAAGAGTTGCATGTTGAGAAGGGAATGATTTTCTGCCAAAGGAAGACAGTCAAATTATGCCTCCTATTTCTGATACACTGCTAACAATCATCTCAAGAACACTGGGTGGTTAAAATGTTCAACTTAAAAGCAGCAAGGTAATAAGCAATAAGTTTAATTTCTGTTTAGTTTTCTAGAGCAAGATCTGAGTGATAAACACTGCTAATCACATTAGTCTTAAAGAAAAGCAGTGATGCACTTTCCAATATACAGTATTAGCTTTGTAAGGATCATTTCGTTACACCAACTGGAATGATGGTTGAAAGTAAAATGGAATGGAAAGCATTAAAATTGTTCATCGGTGTTATAATTACATCAGCTTAAAATAAAAGTTTATGAAACCTAAAATTTTAAAGCTTTTAAACTTTTTCTATGCTCCTAAGTATATGGTTTCATTTACATAAAAATTTAAAAGACAAAATTATTTTCTCACAGTAGTGGGTCTAGATGTGTTTTTTATATTCTAGAAAGCATAGAAAAAGTTTAATTTTAACAAAATGTTTCTCTGTCTATCCCACTTTAACATAATGATTATCTCAAGACTCACAGAACATCTAGTTCAGTTAAATAATTTAAGAGGCAAGGTGGGAGAGGTGGAACACAGTAAAGGACAGACAGAAGGAGAAGAGAGATTTCTTTTAATGGATAAAAAAATGGAAAAAATAAAATTCAGTTTTATTAATGCCCTCCTAATTATTTGGTACCCAATAAAAAGGACTACCATTCAACATAGACAAGGTAATGAAAAAGGACAGAGAAAGAATAGAGAACACAGGTCTTATAGGTTCAAAATAGTCCATAAGAACTTGAATATGTATAATTACACAATATCAGGTTCTGATTCTTCAAGTGTTTTGATTTTGACCCAAATCGATCTTTGGGACTCACTGAATGACAAACACAATTCTTAAACCAATCATTTATTGCCCTTCATCCTTTTGTAATTTATTTCTTTTACACTTCTAAAATATTATCTCTTGCCATACAAATTTGTTTTTTACTTTACTGATTGAAAATTTAATAATTTAACACATTGGCAGTTTCTTAAATTTTCCTGTCTTTGATTTTCTGAAACGCATGGTCAGACACTTTACAGAGCTTCTGGATTTATTCAAAGAGGACATATGCAATCCTAGGTGGTACCCCTTTAAAAACTCTACCACAAGGAAAATTCATGATTTCTTTTTTAATAAAATATATAATGGAGCTGCAAATATCATAGATATTTAGTTTTCCTCTTCAGTTAATACAGGACACATGACTATAAGCCACAACTAACTGTAAATATCTGAAACAAACCAGTTGTGATCACCTAAAACCATAATGAGTATAGGGTAGATCATAGAACACGAGAGGGGTTTGGTGATATGACAATCATCGGCCTGACTGTGAGGCTGAAATCTGGAGACAGAGACAAGGATTTGGAATGAGGCACCACTGGGTTTCTGCGGTATAACTGCTGAAGAGCTCACTGAATTGAAACAATAAAATAAAATCAAATCATGACGACTGAGAAATGTGTGCCTACGATGATATCCCAGGCTATTCATGAAATGAAACCACGGACACGGAAATTCCCGAAATCCCCGTTTCTAACCTGCCGCTGTTGATGACTGTGAGGTCAGACCCTGAGCAGATGTCCTCCACAATGTAGGAATTCTCTTTGCAAGACACGTTCAGAGAGGTGTAGTTCGGCTTGCACACCGTCAGGAAGTAGGGCGCCTGGTACCCCGTGGACAGCTGTATGATGTCGGTGATGAGCGCGGTGGAGCAGAGCCCGAAGACGTGGACGCCTGCGAGCGGGAGGGAACCGTCACGGAGGAGCGCCCACTGCTGTCCCGAGCCAGCACCGGCCGCGGTCCCGGCGCGGCAGCGTCACGGCCTCCAAACCGCCGCGATCGCCTTCTCCAAGTTTGTTTCGAGAAGACTGTAAGGACAATTCCTAAACTTCGGAGCAGACACTGAAGGCCAGAATAGGGGCGGTGAGGCTCTCCAAAGCAGTGACTGGAGGTGTTCTTGTCAGTTTGGCTAAACAGGGCCGGCTCTTAGTATTACTAACCAGAGGTCATGTGACAAGCACCTGGACCGTGTTAAGGTGACCGACTGTGTGGCTGAGAAGGACTAGATATGGGAATGAAGCAAAATTCAAAATCGTCGTAAATTGCTCAGCATTTTGAACTTCAGGGCTCGCTCTCCCCAGAAGTCCCTGACTCCAGCCACGGAATCAGAATCAGTTCTAACTCCTGGTAGTCATACCGGGGGTGCTAATTAAGACAGAGGAGAGGGCAGGCCAGCCTTGTCGTGGGCACAGTAATCACACAAGCACAGGGCCGGGGGCGCTTCTGGCATGCTTGGAATTCAGAGACGATATTCTTAAACCTCCCAGTTGAAACTGTCTCCTCTTTTGTCTCCTGGGGCCAGTATTAAACCATAAACTACAGACCCTGACGCAGGCTTGTACACTCCACCTCCCCTCCTGCTTCAAGTCCCCGGCCTCATCCTTGGGAGTCTAGTTCTGCTCACATAAGCACGCCTGCTCCATCTACACTGTCTGTACACCCTGGATCCACTCTGACCTAGCAGCCTGGATTCTGATTCGTGATCTGCTCATAGAAATCACTGTGAGAGGCACCTGGGTGGCTTGTCAGGGACCCCTCTGGACCGAGATCGCTGGCCTGCACATTACCCTCTTCTGCATTTTCCTTCTCTGCTTATTGTCACCTAGCAACCACTCTTCCAATTCCGTCTCCCCCCAGGCACCTGGGATTCATGGCTCTGGACCTTTCTTCCTTCATGCTAATTCCCAGCAGCAAGCAAGCCCTTGGGGAGGAGTGCGGAGAAGTGAGGAACCCACTCCTTTCCACCTTCGGAGGATGAGAATCTCCAGGCCCCACAGATGAGCGTTGCTGACCCTGGGTCACTGCTCTCTAGGGCGGGACGGCCCATCCTCACAGTTGGGAGGCTTCTCAGAGGGGTTATGTGCCCCTTTGCCACAGCATTTTGTTTCACTAGGAAAAATTTCTCCGAGATCAGCTGTATGTCCTGAAGTTCTGCCTCCTTGTCTTAGATCGTGACCCTGGTAAGGGGATTGTTCTCACCATGCAGTCCTGATGGGCCTTTCTTAGCGGGCCGAGTCTAGGACACGACTGAGACCAGATTTTTTCCTCTAGTAGGAGAGATGGTTGTATTAATTACCTACTCGGTATTACATAAAACTGCCTATTCTTTTGAGCTTCGAGGTTAAAGGTGAAAATCATTTTTTACTAATTTACTAGGAATAAATGTAAAACATTCACATTGGTGTGATGTCTGGACTTCTCAACTCAGGGGGGAAAAAAAAGGCCTGTGACTCAAATAATATTAAGATAATCACATGCTAACCAGAAGAGATGCAGGCTTAGATGCTGGTTGGATTCCGATGCAGGCTTATGGATTTTTCTGTTAAGTCTCATAAAAACAGGAGCTAAAGTTAGATATAACCAAGGAAAAACAGCCTTGATGCAGTAGTCTGTGGTCACATTTCCATGGGCAGTATCTTCTGGAGGAAAACACTCCAAGACAATTGAAATGGAACCATGGATGTGGCTACAGTAATTTCTGAAGGGTTATCTATCCATCCTGGCCTGCTGACATTTATTCTCCACTTTAATAAATGAACACAGAGCCAGTGAAACCATTTCAAAATAAATGCATGCTTCCACCAGAGCGAAGACAAAAATATACTGAAATGCATGGCATGTTAGCTCTCAAAACAAGGACTGTAACTGTAAATAACACGTTTTAGATACAAAGCTCAAATCTGGGTGTTGGATCAGTCTTTTGCGTGTGTGTAATGTAAAACTTATCATGTACCTGAAATTATACATCTAAATTATAGCTTTAAGGACTTAATATCTGTAATTAAATATAACATTTCTATTTGAAAAACAACATTTCCTTTCTTTGTGGTTTCCCACACCCACCAACGAATCTGACGGCTCTTCTAAGGAAAGAGTTGAAGTTGCAGCCTCCGGCGTTAATGTTGGGCTCCAGTCCAACCCCATTCCTTCTCTTGGACAGGCAACAGTAGAGAATTCCTTCCCCTACCATAATCTGCAAAGACAAGAGGGTGTTCAAAATGGGCTCAACAGGCACAGATGAGTTATAAGTTACCTCTTAACATGCCATCAATAAAATGAAGTGAAGATGTATCTTTCTTAAGAGCTTTAGAGATGTGAGCAGTTCCTCCTGATTATTTGAGGAAGCAATGAGAAGTAAGCAATGAGGGCCTTGTAGCCAGCACTGGCTGGATCTTTTCTGCTCCTATAAACCAGTCAAGGGTGTGAGAGCATCCTGGCATTTTAATGTGGTTGGAGCACCCAGACTGTGGCCTTATGCCCAACCATAGCCCATGACACCTAACTGATTAATCACATGGTGACTGATTCTGCCATGACTCGCAGAATCTTGGCATTTTATCTTTAAAACCACAAAAACAAGATGCCTGGGGGGGAGAATAAAATAAGTACCAAAGTTAGGATTCGAAACATTTTATCAGCAGATTATTTCAATAAACCAATTTGGGACTAAGCAGAAGGATCAGCTCATGAAAAGCATGCATGAGGGTGGAAAGGTGCTATCTAAAGCAGAGCTAGCCACGAAAGTTTTCTGCCACGATAGATAGATTTTCTGCATTGTCCAATATGGTAGCCGCTGCTGGGCACTTGAACTAGCGCGACTGGCTACTGAGCACTTGAAATTTAGCTACTGCCACTGATGAGCTGATTTTTTAATCTCATTTCATTGTATTTAATTAATTATTTAAAATGTCAATCCACCAGATTTAAAATGAAATAGCTACATGTGGCTAGTAACTCTCTTACTGGAGAATGCAGACTGTAAGAGTAACTTCTGGATGAAAACACTCCAGGACAATTGAAATGGAATTGATGTGGTAATTTCTGAAGAGTTATCCAATCACACTGGGTAGTATTTCTTAGGTGTGAGATATTCAAAAACTGTATTTACAGTGGACAGAGAACAACACTGTGGTACTAGTAGGACTGTCATTAGATAAAGACCGGTGCTTTTGCTGTAGGAGTCTAAGACATTGGACATGAGTGAAGAACCTCAACATATTCAGGCATCATTTTCTTTAGGAAGTTTTCCTGACGTTGAATTACGTCACCTTCTCTGTGGCCCCCTTCGTATCTTTCCTTTCCTCTAGCGTAGCTTCATTAGTGTACGTCAGTTATTCATTTGATTAGCTCTCACTAGACCATGACCCTCTGAGGGAAGACCATTTCTTTCTTACCTTTGATCCTCACTGTCTAGCACAGTGCCTGACACTTTGGGATCTGCTTTTGTTACCTTCACTGTGGGGTTCTCATTGGCTAATTAACTTGGGCTGGTAGTTATTCTGTATAAGGAAAGCAAGATTGGAAATTATGAGTTTTATTTATGCAAAAAAATTTCAAATATTTGGGGTTACTGGGCCTAAGAGATTATTGTGAAATTAAAATTGATATGTGCAAAAATGTGGAGCTGATAAAAAATAGGATTACATGAGATATTGACAGCCCCTTAGATGTAAGTGATCATGTCACTTTAAAGATTATAACCATGATTATGCGCTGAAACAGATTTTCCAGGGAAAACTTCCCCGTTCTCAGTACCAACTTAGCATTTATTTTACTAAGAACTTAAAATTATGTTTTTTTAAACGAATCAAGTTAAGCTTATGATCTTCTGCTTTAAATGTTCGATCTGCTATATTTAGTTCGGCAGGTAATACGGTGTGTGTACAATTGTAAAGAACTTTAATTTATATAAAATAATTTTCTTAATGAAACTCTACCAATAACTACACATGTGTGAAAGTCTTGTGACATGCATGATAGATTTCTTTATGGTCAATCACAAAGAAATAATCAAAAGGAATTTGTTCAAATCATTGAATACTAAGTTAATTATTTATACTTCTTGAAAACATCATCCTACATTATTGCTTCAAGTTAGACATAGAAACACAATTGTTTCTATATTCCAAGCAGATAGACATGACGTGACACACCACACACAAGAATGATATAGCGGTTATCTCAAATTCATCATTTCAAGAAAATTAACCACTCATTTCTGAAATGCATTCTGAATGGAATTAAAAGAGATTGATTTCACCTTCACTTCTTCGTGATAATTCTGGGAATAATTTTGTTTCTTTCTTTTTAACTATATATGTAAATAGTGATTCAGTCTTGTCCATGAATGCTAAGTTATGTAAGAACTGATTTGTTCAGTGCCATTAGGAAGCTGTTTCTTGTCATACAACACAACAGTCATTATCTCAAGTGACCTTGAGATTTCAGGAGTTTTATTTTAGTTGTTTAATATGCTCAAAACTCACGTCAAGAGAGTGCTTTCACACTCCTTGGCTTGATTATAGATAGAGGCTTCTTGTCAGTATTTCGACATCACCCAACTCTAAGGAGCACATCAATTCTCTCCTCACCTTCTATTCATTTAACCTTGAACCTATATGTCATTGCATGAATGTTCAAAAATGATTTCATTTGTTTTAAAGACACAATTCTCCTCAGGGGGAGGGGAGACGCCTCCTGATGTATTTCCAAAAGTGCCTGCTTGTTTCCTTGTTCTGAATGGCATGCTCTCGTGCTGCAATATGGTTTCAGGGATTAGGCGTTGACAACTAAAATTATTTGTTGCTGCTGTCATTTGTAAATAGCAAACAGTATTGCAAGTATGTTTTCACAATATTCTGTTTATGCCTGAAAAGAAACAGCATCTTTTTTTTTTTTTTTTTTTTGCATGTCAGATATCATGCACAGGTTTTTGGAAGAGATTCTGAAGTGACTCTGCTTCAGCGGAGATGCAGAGAGGAAGCGTATTGCTTCTTATGTGGCCAATGCCCTCAGAAAAGCCTTGGAAGGGCCACCTGAAGGAGACCGCATAGTTTCCTAAAGCTAAGGTTACTATAATCAAACTTCGATACAATTTTTCTATAAAAGTAGATACACTTGTCCTTTAATAATATGTAATAAAATTTTACTTCCCTGGAAGAGAACATAACACATTTCTTTATTCAGGTAGATTTTATGAAGATTTATGATAAGCCCAGATATTCTGTGTTGTTTTCCCTGGGAAATGGTCTCCAAAGGACTGAACAAAATGCCTTAACGTAAATGAAAGTTTAATATTAAGGATGACATTTTGCAATTTAAAAATGGACAGTCTCTGGGAAATAAGAATATGCATTTCACAGACGTGAAAGGAAGTTTTACAGTTTCTTGAACAACATCACGATGGCAAGTTATTTTTAAAACATCCCTCAAAGCATAAAGAACATCTGTGAAGCAAACATTAAATGATTTATACGTGAATGCCCGGATGGAAAAAATCAGCTGATCTTCCTTTTGTTCATATAAAGGTCAGACTATTGCCCGCATGAGGACTTTGTTTTGCTTTGTCTTCACACGGATGGGTGAAAGCAGGAAATGCCTCTCACACAAATGGGCTCTGAAAGCCATTCGCAAAGGAAGGATTCAGCCTGCTTCTCTGCCTCCCCCCAGCTCCATTCTGGCACAGGTGAATGCCACCATAAACATCAAAAGAAGACGGCATCCTTGAAAGTCAGAGATTAGAGTCTGTTATTTGCACTTTCAGGAATGGGGTGGGGGCAAAGGAGATGGAGCAGTAGCCTACGTGATAAGATTAGAGACAGACACTTGGTTCTAGAACATGATGACTCCAGACACTATAGCACCAATGTTTTGGGAAAAGGCCTTAAAAACAGGAGGAAAAATGAACTTAGAAAGAAATTTAGAAGATACATGATGCACGTTTGGAAAGAAAGGTTGTGAAAGACCGTACTTGACATCGGCAAAGCCAGGATTTGTTTTACCATCAAGTTATTTACTGAAAACCCAGGAAATCAGTGCGGAAGAAAAGAGTTGCTGACACCCTGGAATATCCTTAAGCTTTAAGTGATGTGGGGGACATCAGGGACCCTGTGGTGTAAATATTTCTCTAGTTTGCCCCTGGTTCCATTAAGAGCCGTGCAGCAGCTACGAAGGCCCTGTAAAGCCCCAGGAATTCAGGTGATCTTTGAGGAACGAGTTGGCCCTGGGCTGTCCACGTCAACTTCATAGAAGGGAGTCACGGTAGATTTGTTCCTTCACGTCTCAGGGCTCAGGAAAGAAAGCATTGACCCAGAATCCCCCAGAAAGCATCCTTAATTTTATGCTGAGAATTTATTACTGGAAATGAAGGAGTCAGAGAAGCAGGAAGACAAGGAGGAGGCCAAGGTCATTGTCCTCAGGACCCGTAATAGTGTCAGCAAAGGGGTCACCGTGAAATAAATGGTGCTGGCCGGGACTGCCACAATTAGACGTGCTCCCCAGCCCCTTGGTAAAACACCCTGGGGAAGGAAGACTTCTGGGCATATAAAAAGCAAATTATTTAAATGATTAAGTATCACCACAGTCTTTTCAGCAGAGTCATGAACAACTGGACACTATTTTATCTTTTTACTTCAAATATATCAATTGTAATAAATTTCTACATTACACTCCAAATGGGAGAAATGCTCTTGGTCTAATAGATTTAAAGCAAATATTCTTTTTGCTCATGTCAAATGACTGGATGATGTGGGTTTCAAAAATACATCTTTAGTGAAATGACCAGAAAATAGTTATTCTGACCAAGTATTCTGACTGTGCTTTAAATATGTTTTGTTAGTCTGAGTCCCAGCTACTTCCAAGTAACTTATTAATAGTTCCAATCACCCTGGAGTTACTGGAGCTCAAAGAACTCATTTATTGACAAAGTATTTTGACAACTTTTAAGTACTATGGAAAATTAAGTTCCAGTTTTATCTTCTGAGAACATTTTATATAATTTATTTATAGGGTAAGTAGCATGTTATGATTATTTAGTATAGGGAAATTGAAAAAAATCCCCACAAATCCACAGTTATATAAAAGTACAGGTCTATGAAGAGACTTTCCTAAAACTGCTGATGTACCAAGCCAGAACAGACCAATTCACTAGGGAATCTTACAAAAACTCCATTCAAAGACAGCTTTTTATTGAATAACCACTTCCTCTGACAATCATGAGCATGATAAAAGCAAATAAGAGTTCCTGCCATTAGAAATAAATATTATTAACCCTGCAACATGTTTCTTGTCCTTTGAGTAGATTCTGGGAGCATAAGATGGTATGAAGGTTTGGCCAGTATTATCTATTCATTGATTTATTGAAAAATGTGTTATTCACATTGTATGTGTGTGTGTGTGTATATATATATATATACACATATACATACATATATATATACACATATATATATACATGTATATATATATATATATATATACAACTACATTTTTTATCTAATTCCAGTAGGTTAGGGCAGTTCTTTATCTTACACATTTTAAAATGCAAATGCTTGTTCTGAATCTTTTTAATCCCACGTGGAGAGCACAGAGACAGGAATGTGAGTTGTGCCTTCTTCACAGTTGATGCTTGGTGCTCAGAATCAATACAGAGTGCCCATCTACTCAAAAGGGAGAGCAACGTGCACTTTTGAGAAGAAAGTCTGTCCGCTGCAGATTTGTTTATTCCCTAGAGTTTTCCAGACTTTCAGATACAACGTGAACACACCAAAAATACATCAAGGAGGAAATGTATCGGAAAATTTTTTGTTTGCTTTTAACCCATTTATAACATACATGTGGTCATTTCTTCATTTTCTGGGTCTGATCAACACAATTTGTGGGCAATTCTTACCGTAATTGCAGGTCCGGCAAAAGCCAAGCTAAGCAGCATGAGGAATGGAATTGCCTCCTGGGTGGGTTCGATGTACGGCATGCTAAGACTCCGGTCATAGCAGCTGAATCCAGAGTGCACAGGTTTGAAGACATCCGTGAGTTCAAGGAAATACAGGCTAACCACCGATGATGCCAATATCGGCAACTGAGAATGAAGGACACAGATCACCTTATTCTTGTACACAGGTCGTGCGTAGAATCAGTACACCTCGAAGTGGGAAACAAGTGTATTTTTCTCCTTCTCTCACCCCGTCTCTCTGATCTCAGAGCTGAAACCATTCATACGTACTGTAGCGTCTGCCTTCAAAATAAATCTCCAGTTCATGTTCCTCTGTCACCAGCCTGCTCTGAACCCATGTGGTGCCTCACCTTTGCTCCTGGATTACCTCCTAAATGCAGTTCCACTTTCGCTCTTACCACCCCCACCTCACCCATCCATTTTCTACCCCAACATCCCTAATATTTTGAAAATATGTGAGGTCCTATCACTCCCTATCTTAACCACTCCAATAATCTCCATCGTACTTGAGTAAAATCCAAATGTCACATCATAGAACACAAGTTTCTACATGATCTGGCTCTTGCTTCTGTTTCTCACATCTTTTTATACCATGTTTATATCACTTCCCAGCCCCCTACCCACTACAATCCAATTGGCCTTCACTTTTTTTTAATTGAGAAATAACTGACATATATTGACATATAACATATTAGTTGCAGGTGTACAACATAATGATTCAGTATTTTTATATATTGCAAAATGATCACCATAATAAGTTTAATCAACGTCCATCACTACACAGTTACAACTTTTTTTCTTGTGATAAGATCTTTCAAGATCTTCTCTCTTAGCAACTTTCAGACATACAATACACTACTATTACCTGTAGTTCTCATAGTATGTTACATCCCCAGGGTTTATTTGACTTATAAATGAACATTTCTAACTTTGGACCCCCTCTACCCTTTTTACCCACTGCCCATTCCCCATCTCGGGCAGCCACCAGTCTGTTCTTTGCATCTACGAATTCAGTGTTTGTCGTTGCTTTTGTTTCAGATTCCACACACAAGTGAGATCAAATGGCATTTGTCTTTCTCTGACTTATTTCACACGGCATAATATCCTCAAAGTCCATTCACATTGTCACAAAGGGCAACATTAACTTCTTTTGAAGGCCGAACAATATTCCATTGTGTGTATGCACCACATTTTCTCTACCTGTTCATCCATTGGTGGACTCTTAGTTTGCACCCATGTCTTGGCTATTCTCAATAATGCCACAATGAATATGGGGAAACTTTTACATTTGGTGTTTTAGTTTTCTTTGGACAAACACCCAGGAGTGGAAATGCTGGATCATACGGTAGTCCTATTTTTAATTTTTTATGACTTTCCATACTGCGTTCCATAATGGCTGCATCAATTTATATTCCCAAAAGAGTGCACAATGGTTCCCCCTTTTCACCACATCCTCGTCAACTCTTATCATTTCTTGTCTTTTTGATAACAGCCATCCTAACACCTGTGAGGTGGCATCTCATTGTGGTTTTGATTTACACTTCCTTTATGATTAGTGATGCTGAGCGTCTTTTCATATACCTGTGGGCCATTTGGAGGTCTTCTTTGGAAATTTATCTATTCAGATCCTCTGCCCATTTTATAACTTTTTTATCTGTTAAGTTGTATGAATTCTTTATTTACTTTGGACATTAACTCCTTATTAGATATATGATTTGCAAATATCTTCCCCCATTTAGTAGGCTGCCTTTTCATTCTGTGCTGGCTTCCTCCGCTGGGCAGTAACTTTCTAGGCTGACGTGGTCTTATGGTCTTCACTCTTTTCTGGTAACAGTCAGATTCAGTCCTATCTAGCGTTTCCTGCACTTGCTGCTGCTTCTTCCTTTTGTGCTCTCCCTCGGCTCTCTGTCTGACTGGCTTCTCCTCATCATTTAGTGACGATCTCCTGTACTCTCTAAGGTAACCATTGATCCACCCTTCCCCCCAAACCCTCATCATCTAGCTTGATTTCTTCATGGCATTTACCATTAACTGAAATTACTTTGTTGATTTAATACTTCACTTACTTATTTTTCTTCTTCCTCCATCTCCCACCGAAATACAAGCTCCACAAAGTGAGAGCCTGCCAGGGTTATTTACTGTTGAGTCCCCAGGACATAGAATTGCCCCTGGCACATGGTAGGCATGCAGTACATCACTTAGTAATTTAATGAAGTAATAAACACTTGATGATAAAGGGCTAATTGAATAAACTAGTAAATATTAATTCATTACAATAGCTAGACTAGAGTTACTAGATTTAGCAAATGAAAATACAGGTCACTCAGTGAATTCCTCAGTGATGAGAATTTCTGGTAAGTAATAAATATTTTTTAGTGTAAGCATGCCCCGTGCAATATTTGGGAGCTACTTATACTAAAAATCATTTGTTGTTTATCTAAAATTCTAACTTCACTGGATGTCCGCTAGTTTGTCTGCTAAACCTCAACTAGACACAATTTACTTTCTAGACTTTGTGTTTTGGTTTCAATTATTCATTCATTCAAACAGCAATGTGCCGGGTACTATGTGGATCCTAACTATTATAAGGCAAACAAGGCGTGGGCTTGGCCGTCAAGGATCATACGTATAATGAATTAAATTATATGTTTGCTCCCAACATCTTGTCTTCAGAGATATCTCTGGTCTTTTGAATTACTCAACAACAGAACTTTCTTTCGAATGTAAGAAATTTAACAGACGGTATGTGCTAGTTTTGGCATAGCTTTAGAACTGACATATATATAATAAAATCACACAGACATCTTTTGACTGCATTTAAAATGAGATTTAAATAGAGATTTTGAAAGGTCTATATAGTCAAGCATTAGGACTTTTATTTTCTAGTTATGTTGTAGCCAAAAAAATAGTGTGAACCATGCTACTTTTATGCAGCAATACAGAGGAGGGAAATTATCTGAAGATTAGGGAAATGGTTTTCAAGAAGAAAAGATTGATTCTTATAATTACCATCTGCCAGGAAACTTGTGAGTAAAAATAATAGAGCAATTTTTAAAGAGAAAATTATGACAGTTTTAGAGGACAGAGCAAACAAAAGAAATGTGTTTCAAGAGATGACATTTGCCAGATAACATTGATTTTTCTGATGCCAATTTGAAAGAGACAAATCTACAGCATACATCAATTTTAGAGAAACATTGTATGGAATCTATCATGACATTTTATCTGGGTCAGAAAGCTTACTTGTTATTAGTATGTTAATAACAGGAACACACTTTATTTCTCATGGGGGTGGTTCGCTTTGCTCCCAGCCTACAGGGAGACACGTCAATTCCATTCTTTTCCTTTTTTCATAGTCTTGATGAATTCAGAGTCCTCTGAGACACTCAAAAACTGGTGGGATCACAGTCACAAGGAATCATGTACCATACGTGATATTCATGGCTTATTTACTTAATCATTCAACAACTATCTATTGAGAGCCTACTAGCACTGGGCGTTGTTCTAGGTCCGGGGAATACAGCTGTGATCAAACACAAAGTCCTTATTCTGATGAAGATTTCATTCTTGCTGTAGAAGGCAGATAAAAAAATTCAAATTATAATATTATAAAGAAGATAAAAGAGGGGGCTGTGGCAACTGAGTGCCCAGTTTGCTATTTTAGACCAAGGAAGTCCTACCTAAGTAGGTGTCATTTAAACAGAGACTAGGATGGGCAAGAATGAACTAACCACATAAAAACCAGGTAAAAGGCAGAGTCAGAAGGGAGAAGTGATATACGATGAAGTCAGAGAGGTGGACTTGGGGCCAGACTTTGCACAGAATTACAGGCCACAGCAGGAGTTAGTATTTTCTCCGAAGTATGTTTGGAAATGCTTTGGAAAGGTAGAGTAAGCCTTGAAATATATTTTACTAAGAGATCGCTCTGGCTTTGGGGTTGAGAATGATTGTGGTGGGTCAAAAGTAGAAGCAGCATGAAAATTTAGTAGGCTCTTCAAAACCCAGCAAATACTTATCAAGTGCCAGGTATGTGCTGGGCACTGCTCTAAGTGTGAGGAACATAACAGTAAACGAAACAGAGGAAACACCCCGCGCTCCTGACGCTTAACTGCTAGAGGATGCTTGGCAACTGCAGTAATCCAGGCACGAGACGATGACGGCTCTCGCTAGGGTGCGGTCCTGAGATACAGAGAAGCTGGAAGATTCTGGATATAACTTTGGAGACAGAAATGACAGCACTTGTTGACGGGTTGGCTATCGGAGAGAAAACAGTAAAGGTTGATTTCGAGGACCTGGGGCTTGTTGGTGTCATTTACTGGGGTGAGGAAGGCTGAGAAATGCTTGAGTAGGAGGAATCTAAGGTTCTGTTTTGGAAATATTAAAACTGAGATGCCTCTTAGTTATCCAAATGGAGCTGTTAAGAAAAGAGTAAGACGCTAATCTGGGGTTTCTGAGGGAGTCCAAGGCTACAGGTAGAAAGCCGCAAGTCATTGATACAGGATGACTGCAACATCACCTCCACTTGCAGAAGAGCAATACTTGCTCAAGAAAGTTCAAAAGTTAAATTAACTTTTTGATTTGATACGAATAATGTCATAAGAACCAAAGGAGGTAACTGTGTGTCTTCGTATCATTCATGTACAAGAGAGAATCTCAGAGAAAAAGAACATTTGTTATATTAATAACAAATTTTAAATGGGAGGCTGGGAAGCAATCCTGATCAGTACTCCCGCATCACATAAAATGTGACATTTAAAACATTTATATGTTTTATTGAAATGAAATTCAAACCAGAAGAAATATTAACAGATCAAAGTAATTTTATTAAAGCTTATGGCAAGAAGTAGGTTGCCATTGGTCAAGAAATAGGACAGAATTTTCCATTTCCTACAGCTCAATGTTTAATGACATTCCTTAGTATTTTTTGCCTTCTAGCTGATATAGATAAATGTTCCCTTTAAATATTGACAATAATAGTAATAATAACAGAGTTTAGAGCTTTATGGTTTATAAAACTGTCTTCGCTCTAACTGTAGCATATTTGGATTAACTACAATCAACCTCAAAAATATAGTCTATAAAAAGCGCCTTAACACTTGCAGTGTCACTGGGAGTAGGGCAGAATG